ATGAAAAACATTGTTTGCAGACCGACAGTTAAAAACGTTTTAATACCCGGTGTCATATCCCCTATGCCCCTGCCCCCTAGGCGCAATAGGCGCAGGCACAGACTTAGGGTACCCTGCAGCGAATGTCACTGTCCGAACAACAATCCCACCAAGCCCAGGAGCAACAACCCAAGCAAGCACAATCCCACCCCGCATCCCCTCGTACGGAGCAAGTCCGCAGTGGTGCGCTCGTTGTACAGAAAGATGCGTACGCCGTTCACGAGGTCGCAGACCGTCGACGAGAACATGCTGAGATATTACAGCCCGGAGACCAGCGAGTACAGCGTCTCCGAGGGTTACATGCTCAAGCCGGAGGAGCTGACCGGCACCTCCAAGAAACGTATACCGGAGATATACGTGGAGGATTGTCTGCGGGTCGACTTCAACGATCGCCTCATCGAGAAGTTCCGCGGCAGGTACGCGTCGCCGTATCTCTTCACGGAAAGTAGTAACGGGACGCGTAGACGATCCCGCAGCTGGCAGGACCGTGCCGCGGGACGTGCCGCGAGATCTAGGCACCAATTCGCCGCTTCGACTTTCGCGAGAAGCGGGATCGGGGGCTGCGTCGGAGCCGGGATCGGAGCCGGGATGGTCGGCGGCGCGACGCACGACCTGACGGACGACGCCGGCATTAGGAACTTAGACGTTAGCTTGCGCCCGCGTAGGTCGTTCTTGTTCGCGAAGGCTAGGAGCTTCGATTACGACGTTCTCCACGACAGCTGCGACGACCGTTACGGTTTCGGGATAGGCGGGGGACTGTTGTCGCGGCGCGCGAAGAGTTTCGAGTACGACAACATATCCGGGAACATATTCAGCGACGACAGTATGCGCACCGCGAGAAGGAAGCTGAAGAAGAACTTGTCGATCAGCGACGGATACGGCGATAAGATCCCCGCGCTGGGCGACCAGAGTAAATCGTATTTGGACTCGAACGGCGACGACAAGATGCCGAATAGCTTGATGGATAGGGAGAAGAACTACGACTACATGATGAAGGAGCATAAGCCCTTCTACCGGTACAACAGACAGTTCGTTTGTAATAACGAGGGCTACATGCCGCGATTAGCGACCAAGGACTATCGGTACGATCTTTTCGGCGAGAGTGTCTTCAGCAGCGACGACCAGGTCGGTCTGAGGAGCATTCTTGGAAGAGAGGATCCGGCGAAACGGAAGTACATCGACTCAACGTTTCACGATCATGACCCGACCTTCGCCAGCGACATCTCGGAGAAACGGACGAAGAATTTGGATGACGATATCTGTGACCCTACCGGTGATCATATATACTGCAGCATCGACGAAGCTTTGTCCGCGGAGAATTACGGCCGCGATGTAGTCAGCTCTGATCTGGATCAGTACGAGGATCAAAGGAGGACAGTTGGTCGCAGGAGGACGAAGAGCAGCGGAGAGTCTTACTTGGAGAACGGGTACGACGGTTACGACTGGGACATCGAGTACGACGAGGGTTTCGTTGACAGAGGGAAGATCGAGGATTACGATCAGCGTTTGTACGCGTACGATGACAATCAGACCGGTCGCGACCACATTGTAGACATGGATCAGATGTACGACGATGATTACTATGACAGAAGAGCGGAAAGAAGAAGGACCAGCACGAGGAAGAAGAGAACGTCGCAGTATGTAGAGAATGACTACATCGTGGACGGGTACTGCGACTATCGTTCCGCGGAGGAGTACGACTATCAAGCGCACAGCGGTCCAGAGATGCGAACGGATCATTACCAGGAAACATTGCCGCGACGTAGACGAAGGAGAAGTCGAAGAGGTAGCCGAGAAACCGGCACAGTGGTCTACGAGAACCTCCAACCGTACAGGGACGGTAGTGGCAAAGATACTCTAACGGTACCCAGTTTCACCGAGAGCAAACGAATGATGCTTCAGCGAGCGGAGTCTTCGCCGGTGCTCCGTTCGGACGAGGAACTGAGTTCCTCCGAGAGAGCGGAGAGAGCGAAGCGCTTGTATCGTCGCAAAAGGAACAGCAGCTGCCCGGAAGCTAGAGACCTACGGTATTACGATCGCAGGAAAGACGAGGAGAGGAGCACGAATTTCATCCTAGACTCGGACGAAGAGTTCGGTTCGATGGAGACGGTCGTGTGCGCGGACTGCTTCCGTCAGAGGAACGACACCGGTATGATAGTTAGCGAAAGAGCCAGGTACTACGAGACGGAACGTGACGGTTACGCGGACGCGAGGTACGACTACGGTGACGGACAGATTTGCGACCCGGAGACTTGCGAGCTGGCTAGGTCGGAGTCGTTGCGCGCGTACCGCGTTAGGCGTAAGAGTAGCTGCCCGGAGTGTCGCGAGTTAGCGGAGTTAGGTAGGTACGGTCCGTCGCGGAGGGCCGAGGAGAGGAGGGCGTCGTTAGAGTCTCGGTATAGGTACCGTAGGCGTAACAGCAGCTGCCCGGAGGCTAGGGACCTCGAGCTCCTCGAGAGGAGGCAGCAACAGCAGGAACAGCTACAGCCGCAGCAGCAAGCCCAGCCGTCGCAGGCGAGCGGCGTCGCTGGTGTCCAACAGCATCAGCAGCAGGGTAGTAAGAGGAACGTAGCGATCAGCGACACCCTCGAGTACTACGAGTACTCGATGGAGAGCGAGAGCCAGTGCAGCGAGAACTGCGGATTTGGCCCGTGCGATCCGCGTAGGCCCCGTAACCGAGCACCCCGCCCCGGTAACGCTAATTCAAGTCTCTTTGATTCCCAAACCGCTACCTCCGACACTGCTAAA